TGCCTAGAATAGTACTTTCTGGTGTTCCTGGAGGAGAAAATCCAAAAAACAACAAATTCTTATTTTCATATTTCTAAGAAGAAAATGGTTTCCTTAAGTGAGATGATTCTTATAAGAATCGCAACCGTGAGACTAGGTGCCGTGGCTCAAGCCTGTAATCTCAGCACTTTGGGAGGCCGAGGCGGCGGATCAACTGAGGTCAGGAGTTCAAGACCAGCTTGGCCAACATGGGGAAACCCCATTTCTCCTAAAAATACAAAAAATTAGCTGGGCATGGTGGTGCCTGCCTGTAATCTCAACTACTTGGGAGGCTGAGGCAGGAGAATCGCTTGAACTCGGGAGGTGGAAGTTGCAGTGAGGCGAGATAGCACCATTCCACTCCAGCCTGGACAAGAGCGAAACTCCATCTCAAGAAAAAAAAAAAAAAAAAAATGCAACTGTGATGTTTCTACCTTGTTCTAATTCACTTTAATAATAAAGGCATGCACATTGATGGGGGTTTTAGCTCTGTGCCAAGTTAGCGTCACTGAGGACTTTCGTACCAAGCACAGGGCTAGTATCTTTACATGCATGCATCATTACATTTAAACCTCATGGGAAACCTGTGAGCTAGATGCTATTATTATCCCCATTTGACAGCTGATGAAACCAAATCGGGAGAGATCAAGTCATTTGCACAGCTGGTAACTAGTGAAACTGGGATTTGAACCAAATCTGTCTGACTTCAGGGTCTTTGCTTTCACCCACAATGCAGAGCATATACAAATGTTTCAGATAGGGTACCTGCCTAGATGCCAGAAACAACATATAGGTCGATTTGGCAAGTCAAAATACAAGAGTGAAAAAGGAAGGAATAAAGAAGGAAGGAACGTGGCTGTGCATCACATATATGGTACAGCCCTTGCTTTAAGACATCAGAGAGAGGAGAGGGCAGGGAGGGCCTGGCTCACAGCATTTCAGGAAACTGTATCAGGAAGAAGCAGCTCTTGAGCTAGGGTTTGGATTTGTAGGGACACTTCCTAACCTTTCTTACTTAATTTTTTTTTTTTTTTTTTGAGACGGAGTTTCACTCTTGTTACTGGAGTGCAATGGCGTGATCTCGGCTCACCGCAACCTCCGCCTCCTGGGTTCAGGCAATTCTCCTGCCTCAACCTCCTGAGTAGCTGGGATTACAGGCATGCGTCACCATGCCCAGCTAATGTTTTGTATTTTTAGTAGAGACGGGGTTTCACCATGTTGACCAGGATGATCTCGATCTCTTGACCTCGTGATCCACCCGCCTCGGCCTCCCAAAGTGCTGGGATTACAGGCTTGAGCCACCGCGCCCGGCTCTTACTTAATTTTACACAGCTGTGTATAAAATTAAATGTTAAAAAAAATTTTTTTTTTTAAGTTTTTAAAAAACTTTCAAGTTTACACAGCTGTATGTGTATGTACGTTTCTGCCTTTGTGAGCTACAGTGTCCTACTAAAACACAGGCAGTTTAGTAACATGATGTAAACATACAGAACTGTTTGACGAGTAGCAGGAAAAGACATCCAGTAACAGGAAAGGACACGCAAACCCACGTTGGTCACCTTAGTAAAGCAGCGTTGCCAAACTATTTATTGCTCATGGGCCAAATCTGTCATGCCACCTGTTTTTTATGGCCTGCTAAGAATAGTTTTTACATTTTTCTTTTTGTCAAGATGGGTCTTCCTATGTTGTACAGGCTGGTCTTGAACTTATAGGCTCAAGTGATCATCCCATCTTGGCCTCCCAAAGTGCTAAGATTGTAATCACACATGCAGGGGTGAGCCACCACCCCTGGCCTTTCACATTTTTCAACGGTTAAAAACCCAAACCGTAATATTTTGTGACTTATGAATATTTTATGAAATTCAGCTTTCAGTGTCTGTAAATAAAGTTTTATTGAAACACTGCCACATGCATTCATTTACTATTTACTGTGGCTGCTAGGATGGCAGGGTTGAGTAGCCACATTGGAGGGCCTATCGCTTGCAAAGCCTGAAATATTTACTATCTGGCCTTTTAACAAAGTCTGTTGACCCCTGCCTTACCGTCATAAACGCCCCAGATAATCTCCACCAGCTCTGATACATATTTGGGGAGGTGGGGAGGGGAAAATACAGTAATATAGAAAAGTACAGGACTCTGCATCCCTCATTCAGAACTGACTGCTGCTAACAATTTGCCATTTGCCTCACAGCAATTTATTAGTACTAAAAGGGATAAAACTTGACAACATGCCTTATGCTCCCTCTCCTGTTCTGTGCCTACTTTCTTCTTGTGGTAGACTGTCATGAACTTAATGTATATTCTTCCCTTTGACTTTAAAAAAACTTGTATGTAAGCATGTGTCCATGAACAGTATCTACTGTGTGGGACTGTAAGATACACATAAATTGTGCATCGTGCTGTATTCTGCAACTTCCTCTTTTACTCAACATTATGTTTTTGGGATTTCCTTATGTTAGCACAGATCTAATGCACCACTTTTATTTTTTGTTATTATTGTTATTTTTTGAGATGGAGTTTGCCCCTGTTGCCCAGGCTGGAGTGCAGTGGTGCGATCTTGCCTGACTGCAATCTCTGCCTCCTGGGTTCAAGTGATTCTCCTGCCTTAGCCTTGAACTCCCAATCTCAGGTGATCCACTTGCCTTAGCCTCCTAAAGTGCTGGGATTACAGGCGTGAGCCACTGCACCTGGTTTTTATTATATTATTATTTTTTAATTAAAACATTTTTTAAAAAAATATTTTGAGACGGAGTTTCACTCTTGTTGCCCAGGTTGGAGTGCAATGATGAGATTTCAGCTCACCGCAACCTCTGCATCCTGGGTTTAAGCAATTCTCCTGCCACAGCCTCCTGAGTAGCTGGGATTACAGGCTGGTGCCACCATGGCCCGCTAATTTTTTGTATTTTCAGTAGAGATGGGGTTTCTCCATGTTGGTCAGGCTGGTTTTGAACTCCCGACCTCAGGTG